TAGGACTGCCACATTTTAATTTTTTTTTTTTTGAGACAGAGTCTCACTTCGTTGCCCCCAGTAGAGTGCTGTGGCATCATAGCTCACAGCAGCCTCACATGCAGCCTTTAAAAATGCAGTCTTTCCTATCAATAATGAGTTTTGGTTATAATTGCTTAGGAAGTCATTTTGTCTTGTAAATATGTATTTGTGAACCTTTTTGCCCTAGGTAATCCCCTATGTTGGCACCATTCCTGAGCAGTTGGAGCCTGGGACTTTGATTGTAATCCGTGGGCATGTTCCTAGTGACGTGGACAGGTAAAGTCACTGCGCTAGGGGAAAGAACAGGAATAAAGTGTCCTGCTGTGAATGTGGAACAACAAAAAATAATGTGGGAGAGACCGTTTTGATATTCTGAGGCCTGATTCACTTTCAGCAGCAGCCCTGGCCAAGGCGCTCAGGAGATTGGAATGAATGACAGAACAGAAGTTATTGGGAATTTTTATTTCATTGCTGTATATCTGGTTTCAGTATAATGAATGAGCTAGTTCATTAAAGAAGGGAATAGTAGTCAGATGACAGGGACAGTCCAGTTGCAGTTTAATATTCCCACATCTGTTAAGATCTATTTCAAATGGTTTTATTGAATGCTTCCTTGGGTTTGAACTTTGGAGTGAGGTCTGTCAGTTAGCACTGGGCTTACTTAGCTCCATGTGGTAATGCCCAAACAACAGTGTTTTAAATAAGATGTGAAAATTAAGTCTCTAGGAGACAGCCCAGACCTTTTCCGGCAGCTCCGTCAAGTCGTTAGAGAAGTAGGCTTTTCCGGGCTCACCACTGTGCTGGCCCGAGTGATCTCAGGTCTTCCTTCTCACGATCTTTGGAAACTAGATCTCCAGCCCTTACATCCTTCTGCTTTGGGCAGCTAGGTGGGTACATGCGGTCTTTGGGGGTGAACTAAAGGCTGGTGCCTGCTGGCTTTGAAGGCAGTTTCCAGTAGTTTTCCCGGGCACTTCACTTCCACTCCATTGGCAGGACTTCAGCCATATGGGAGGCTGGGGAGGGAAGTTCTCACTCTGGGCATATTGGACCTGGCTCAAACTCAAGGGCTTTATTATCAAGGCAGAAGGAAAGAAGACTAGGTAACTAGCTCTTTTAGGGATCCCTGAGTCATGTGTCGCTCGGCCTCGAGCGGAGCGCTTTCTGGCCCTTCCTGGCCTCTTTCCTGGCTGAGTGCTCATGGGCCCCCATTTCTTTCCACATTAGGTTCCAGGTGGATTTGCAGTGTGGCAGCAGCGTGAAACCTCGAGCCGACGTGGCCTTTCATTTCAACCCTCGTTTCAAAAGGTCCAGCTGCATCGTGTGCAATACTCTGAAAAATGAGAAGTGGGGATGGGAAGAGATCACCTATGACACGCCTTTCAAAAAGGAAAAGTCTTTTGAAATTGTGATTATGGTCTTGAAGGACAAATTCCAGGTAGGTTTTGGAGAGTGACAAGTTACCTCCTTGTGGTTGAGAATGAGCACAGAGGCGAGGGGAGCTCTTCACACTTATGGACTTACCCTTTATTTCCTAAATCCAGTAAATACTTTGGCTTTGTAACTTTTTCTCTAAAATAGGACTGGCCAGGTACTTAAATATGAGGTGGGTCATAGCAGACATAGCTACTCTGTCCAGCCAATTTTTGCTGTGCAGAAATACAGGTCCAGTGTGACCAGATCTTTTATTAGGTCGTATTTATCCTAGCAGGGTGGAATTCTGAATTGACACAGTGTTGTGTTAATTATGGGAGAGTAAATTATAACCATCACCACTCAAAGTGTGGAGAAATTTGGAACTAATAGACTGGGGAATTGAAGTGTAGAAATCAAAAGAGTTTTGTAAATTTAAGGCGTACACAGGCAAATCTATAGGATAATGAGATTTTAGATCCAGAGGGGATCTTAGAAATCTTTGGGCTTCATGAAATGTTTTATTCCTAGTCGGTAGGTGGAAGGTAGAATTTGGTCCTAGAGGACCTCACACCTGCTGTCTTCAGCCTGTGCTGTGCTCATTTGAGTGTGGACTCCCATGTCTCTGGTGCAGGTGCTTCCTGTCCTTCAGGACCCAGCTCCCTGCAGGAAATCTCCCCTAAATCTCCTGAACCCCATTCCACTCTCTCTTCTCTGGTCTTCTGAGCCCCTGTGTCTCTGTCTTTCTTTTTACAGCTGTTCCTGTACTGTTGTGCTTTGGTTCTATCACGTGGTTGTTTTGCGTTCCCCCACCCCGGGATTTTAAGCCTGTTCTGCTGCTTACGATTTCCACATGTGCCCTAACAAGAGGCTCGCATTAGAGAGGGACGGGGGAAAGGGGCCACACCCTCCTCTGCTCGGGCTCTGTGCTGAGGACTTGCGGAGGCTGGTTTACAGGCAGTCACAGCTGTAGCCCGTTGAACTAAATCGGTGTTTTTCAAGCTTTTTTATCTCACAGCACACTTGAACTTATAGTTAAACTTCCACAGCACATTTAAATTACGTTGATCACAAAAAAAAAGAGTAAAGAAAAGAATATACTTACTGTGCTTCGAACTTCCTTCTAAATGATTTAATTAATGATCTTTAAAAGCTTCATGGTGGACCTAAGAGCCTCTCGTGGCACTCCTGTGTGACCTGGCATAGTGGTTGAAAAATCACTGAGCTGGGCGGCGCCTGTGGCTCAGTGAGTAGGGTGCCGGCCCCATATACCGAGGGTGGCAGGTTCAAACCCGGCCCCAGCCAAGCTGCAACGAAAAAATAGCCGGGCACTATGGCAGGCACTTGTGGTCCCAGCTACTTAGGAGGCTGAGCCCAGGAGTTGGAGGATGCTGTGAGCTGTGTGATGCCAGGGCACTCAACCGGGGGTGATAAAGTAAGACTCTGTGTCTTAAAAAAAAAAAA